ACATGCTCGGCTCAAGGAATACTATCTTTTGTGGATGCAAAGTCTTAAGCTCAACTAATGAAGATCTCTGTTCAAAGCCCAGCCCAGCCCAAAGTTAAGCACACTTCAAAGCAGCCTTCAGCTGGCAGTAAGGAGTGCAGGCAAGGGGCCAGGGCCTAGAGTCGAAAAACCCAATTCCTCCATTAGCTACAGGGGGACTAACCACATACTCCTTTGCACCTTATCTGCCACCATGATGATAAGTTACTCTCTACACAATTATGGGCACTAGGTAAAGTCAAATCATTTGACATGCTATCTCATTTAATCCTCCTCATAAGGAGGTACTCCAAGTATAACTTCTTATACTATGCTGCCTCCCACCTAAGGCTGAGCCTTCCTCACTGGCTGCTCATGGAAGCTGTGAGGGTACATAGCCTTGTCTATCCTGCTCATGGCTGGCACATGATCCAGGGGGCCAAAGCACTCAGCACAGTGACATGACCAACCCCAAATGATGGAAGCTGGGAGGGCACACACGCTTCTCTGTCTTGCTCATCACTGAGTCCATGGTACATAAGCAGCAGAGTAGCCAATGTGAAGTCTCCACCTCCTCACATGGAAATATTAACCTGTAAAAGCCTAAGTCTGGGAATGGCATTGCTTTAGCTGGTTCCAACACAGATGCTCCTGCAGTGCCATCCTTCAGGTTTCCACACCCCACCGTTACTGGACGGACCTGCAGCAAGGGGAATGGAACAAGATCCTGTACTGTAGGCCCTGCCTCTCACAGTCCTGCACAGTAATCAAGTTGCCCCAGAGATGAATCCCACGCCTGCCATTCACACTGGTCACCCAAACCCTGGAGCTTCAGGTTCCTTGTTAAGTTAAACAAGGACTGAGTTATAACCTGTATCACGGTTCAGGATCACAGCAGATCCTCAGTCAATGGCTGAGACCAGGCTGGAAGGGCGGGACTTCTGCAGCACTACAAGATTGCACATCTGGTGAGAGAGTATGTGAGATGTGCAGAGGAACCAATTGCAAGCATCTGCAATTCACGGTCACTGCAATGGGAGACCCAAGAGCAGGCACACCCCAAAATGCCTGGGACTGGAGCCTGGCACAAGCCCCAACCTTATCTTGTTTCCTGTCATAGCTCATGCTCATGTGCTTGCAGTTACACGAAACAGGGCTTTTCCTCCTTAAACTTTACATAAGAGTGACAGTGATCAACCCCCCAACGTGGAAGCTGTGAGGGTGCATAGCCTTGTCTATCCTGCTCATCGCTGGCACATAAGTAGCCACCTCACACATACATACTTCAGGCCCCACCACACCGCCGCACCTCTGTATCTGCCAACAGTAAAATCTCCCAGCCTGACAAGCAGGATTCAGGATTGTCAGGTACCTGCCCTGCTACCATATCCCTGTGCCATCAGTTATTGGCCCCCCTCCCCCACAGAATGTAAAAATATAGGACTTCTCTATAAATAGGGAGATCTGCTTCAAAAGCATGGCTTATCATCTTCTTATTCTCAAACTATTGATCCTTGGCTACTTTCAGAAGCATTTCACCAAAAAGTGGCCAGCTTTAACAGGACTGTCTAAATACAACTATGTATCTTATCCACACCAGAAGACCACCAAGACAAGTATCAACTCTATTGTTTTACCTTGTAATATGAGGGGCTTCTCCTATCAGGTCCTGTTAGGCAAAACCACCTCTGGGTTGGCATGACAATTCCAGAGTGGCCCCCTCCAGCCCTACCATTAAGTACAGAATTACAGCTCTCAGAATAATCCCTAAATTAGAAGCTACAGTTGTGTTAGGAAAAGTGCTTTGAAACTGCAAAGTGGTAAGATTATTACCTATTAAGGTAATGAAAATAAATTTCATTTGCCTATACATTCTTAACAAGGAAAGTGAAACTGATGCCAACAAAAATCATGGAATTCACCCCCAAATCAAATGCATTTTAGATTCTCAAACCCACATTTTCCTCAATGGAAAACTGAGATCTGTTTTTTCTAACATCAGGACTACTGAAAAGCTGGGCCTTGGTGTCTCTTGCCTATAATCCCAGCTACTCGGGAGGCTGAGGAAGAAGGATTGCAGCAAGTTCAAGGCCAGCCTGAACAACTTAGCCAGCCATCTCAAAATGAAGAAAAAAAAAATTAAGGACTAGGAATGTAGCTCAGCAGCAGAGCTGTTGCCTAACATGCAAGTGACCCCTTGATTCAATCCCCACCAGTGAAGGGGGGGCGGGCAGGACCATGTTGGTCTAATTCATTTGCCTCTGATGCAGACCCACACTACCACTTCCGTCCTGTCCCAACTATCTATACTGATTTATCAGTTTATATAAATAGGGAATAAATTTAAAAATAAGCAGTCAGAAACTATTTGTGAGCCTACAGGACACCAAGAACACGTTATTGAAAGACATGAATATGAAATCCAAGTGACTTAAGTTCACAAACATGAACACAGACATATTCCAAGTCGTTTCTTTTCTTTTGAGATAGGGCTTTGCATTTTATTATGCTGCCCAGGTTGGCCTTGAACTAGTGATCCTCCTGCCTCAGCCTCCCAAGTAGCAGGGATTAGCTGGGATTACAGACACAGGCCAATGCACCCGGCTTTCCAAACCATTTCTCTCACTGCCAGATGCTGTTCTGGCCCACAGGGAGGGATACAGCCATGGAAAACACAAGACAAAAATCCTGGCCCCCAAGCAGCTCAGGTTTTGGCCCACACTAAATTGCCTGAATGACCACATGACTTCTCTATTAAATAAGACTTTCTATGTAAAGAATCTAGCATATAATCCAAAGACCATAAATGCTGCTCCTCCCCTGCCACATTTGAGCACCCCATTATTATGTTTCTAAACAATTTCGTTATATCTTTGGACATATAAGCAGCTTGGTACAATGGGAAAAACACAGTTTAGAACTGGCCAGATGTTATTCCACTGACATAGCAATGCCCTGAATGTGACTCCTCCTCCTGAGCCTCAGCTTCTTCACCTGTAAAATGGGGACAGCATATACCCAAATCTGGATTAAATAAGCTCACTCAGGTGTGTGGCACAAAGTAGGCCCTCTCCTCCACCCCTTCCAGTCTTTTCAKATTATCAGATGAGAACCAAGGCCAGGACTCTTTGTCATATGCTCCTCCTGGGTCATTACTGGCACTTTCCATCACACTCAGAGAACTGCCCCTCCCTATCTGATCTACCGCCCTGAGCACCCCATCTGGCCACTCCACCCATCCTCCCTTGATTTGCCCTGAGAGCACATTTAGAAAACTTCAGTTAAAGTCCTCACCCCAAACTATCCCGGACAAATCCTTCTTGGTCAAGCTGGGAGCCAGGCCCACCCCCCCACAGGCCAGGTTTCAGCCTGTAGCAATAGTATTAAAAATGACAACACCTCTGTTTTTAATCAATATACAGGAAAGCATCAAGAAAAAACTAAGCCGGTCTGAATTAGTCACCCTAGTTCTACAGCAACATCCTTTGATTAAACAAGGAACTGAGATCCTCAAAACCATTTGGGGCCCAAAGTTCACATGCAAATAACTGCCTGCACTGGACAGGAGGCACCAGCACAGGACCCTGATGCAGGAGGTGGATGGCCTTAGCTCTGACAGTTCCTTCTTCAAAGCTTCCTTGACCACATGAGGCAGAAGCCCTGTGACCCTCCAACCTGGGTCTCCCCTAYAGATGGTTCCACAGTTGGTTAAGTGGCAGGCCTACCTGTGGGGGCCTATGTGAAGCCTGCTGCCTAGAGCCCACATCGCCTGCCTTCATTACCAAAACAAACACCACGAGTGAAGCTAGATCTCTGCTTCAAGTTTTGCTCACCTGATCCGAAGCACCTCCATAATCAGCAGTTCCAACCCTTACAAGCTGACAGTTTAGGGGGAAAGGAAGGCTGCGCCTGCTAGGGTGCATTGTGTCCAGGCCATATGTTGAGCTCTGAGCCCGGTGGCTCCCCCAGGGCTGCGGCCTCACAAGGGGGATTGTGCGTTCATCCCAATCCGGTGGGCTCCCCAACCCTCACCCTTCTGCTCCCACTTGGGCTGGGGCGCGCTCTAGCATCTCACTGAATCGGCGGCCGCGGGAAGGGCCCGGCGCTGCCTTCCGGGCACACAGATGTCCATCCTTCCCTCCCTGGCTCGCTCACCAGAAGAGGCAACCCTGGAGCCCAAAAAGGGATGGCACCCCCACCCCGACCGGGGTGTTCACTCCCGTCTCCCCGGCTTCCAAGAGGTTGCGAGAAGGGGCACTGGAAGTGAAGGGGAGGGGACACCTGGGTCGGGGGCAGTCCCTGATGGGAAGGTAAGGCCGGGGACACAGGGGGGCTGACGCAGGCTTCGTTGAGAGTGGTGAGAAGTCCGGGAAACCTGATCGAGGGGGTCCTGTGGGCAGGGAGGCCCAAGAGGGGGCCACAGCAGAGGAGGAGAGGTCCACACTGAAGACCAAGGAGGAAAAAGARGAATTATGCCCGAGAAGAGAAACAAATCTAGGTTCAGGTCACTTGAAGAAGGGCTGTCGCGGGTACGGACTGAGGCCACGGAGAAGGGAAGGAGTGTGAGGGGAGGGGGGCCTAGTCTGGGCCAAGGCAGGGAGAAGCGACGGACTGGCGTGGACCGCAGGGGCCCTGGTAGAGGGCCCAGCCCGGGCCAGGGGAAGAAGAAGGGGGACCATGGCTGGGTCACTGGAGGGGGGTCCCTGGCCTGGCCCATGGGGAAAGGAGGGTCCAGCCTGGGCTCTGGGGGAGACTCTCCTGGACTTGCAGGGGGAGAGTAGGACTCCAGGTGGAACCTAGGGCGGGGACGGCAAAGTCACCGGCCACCCAGGCGCCCCGCGGCCCCTCCCGGGCCGGAGGGAAGGTGTGCACCCAGGGCCCGGGACCCCGCCCCTCCCCCACCCCGGGAACCCACCCTCCGGAGCCGGGGTTCGGCGGGGCAGGGGGACGCGAGCTCGCGGGCGGGACCGAGGGGCCTTTACCATRGTGGCGGCGGCGGCGGCGGTCCCGGTCCCGGCGTCTGTGGCTCTCCCCCCCGCAGCAGGGCCCGGCGCTTCCACTTCCCCGGGTGCCCAGGAGTGAACATCCGGGTCAGCGCCCCCCTCCCCCCGCGCCGGGCCGCCGCCACCTTCCTTCCCCGCCCCGGCCCGGGCCCGGGCCCGCCCCCCACGCCGCCAGCTCCCGGCCAATGAGCGCGCGGGGCCGCGGCGATCGCCAAGTATGGAGCGCGGCGCGGGGGGCGGAGCCCCGGCCGGGCGCGCGGGGGCGGGGCCTGCGGGCGGGGCGGGGCGGGGCCGTGCGGGCCGGGCGCGGCGCCGGGCTGGGGCCCGGGGACTAGGGGTCTCCTGCGGCTGCGACGCTCGGCCCCCTAGTCTGTGGCTGCATAGCTCGGGGCTGCAGAGGGACCGCTTTCACCCGCCCGAAGAACCCCCAGGCGAAGATGCTGAAGGTACTAGGCTGGGAGGGGACTGTCCCTCAGCGCCCCACCCGATGCACGCGTTCACGCCGTCAGTGGACCCGGAACTGGTGAGGACAGCGGACCAACCCAGCCCAGCCCGGCCCAGCCCAACTCTGAGAGAGAGGTCCGCGAGTGGACCCTGACATGGAATCCCAGCGCTGCCGCCTGCTACCGGTGGGGCCCYGTGGGACCTGGAGCCCAGCACTGCACCTGAACCTGGTCTCCAGAATCAAAGAGCTTTGGGYTGCACCCTTTATTGAGCACCTATTATATACCAGGCCTTGCTTTAGGCACTAAAAGATGATAGAGGTGAATCAGACATAGATTGCTGTCCTACCTGCGACAGGGTAGTTATGATGACACAGGTGAAGAGATTAGAAATGTGGGCTCAATAAATACTAGGTCATATGCAACCTTCTACATTTTCTACAGGGATTCAGCTCTATGGGGCTGCCTTCCTCCACACAGTAGCTCAGAATTTTTTTTCCCTTCTTTTTCCTCTCTTCATTCAACAAATATTTGTTGAGCTTGGTTTAGAATGCAGGAGACCTGGAAAGTAAATCCTGCTAGTAATACCAACTCTCCCTTTCTTGCCCTCTTTGGAATCAAATCAGGTCACCTCTGAGGGGACAGTAACCGCATAAATGAGTTCAATAATGTGTGAGTTGCATAATGTGTGAAGCCACGGACATGTAAAGAATGGTATAGATGGGATTATAAGGGTTCAGAGAAGGGGCTGGGGTTGTGGCTCAGGGATGCACCATTCACCTAGCACATTCGAGGTCCTGGGTTCAATCCACAACACCACATATAAATAAGTAAAATAAAGGTATGTGTCCAACTACAACTAAAAAGTAAATATTAAAASAAAGAGAGTTCAGAGAAGGGACGGGCACTTAGTAAGTTGTTACCRGTATTTATCAAGCACCTATGTGCCAGGCTCCATGCTAGGCTCTGGTCACATAGTCGGGAACAAAACAGATTGCTCTGGTGTGGAGCTTTTATTGGGGAGTTGCCACTGGGATTCAACTCAGAGCCTCCTGCATTCTGGGCTTGCTCTTCCACTGACCTATGTCCCCAGCCCCTGGCATGGAGTTTGAATGCTGACTGGGGGACAGTCAGCTACCAAGAACAGATAATGTCCAGGATGGTTAGAGGTGTGGAGAAAAATCAGTGAGAGAGCAGGTAGGCAGGCTAGCACAGTGTGGCTGTTTGTGGGGTGGCCAAGGAGGGTCTGACTTAGGAAGTAAACCATTGAAAGGAAGGGCCATGTGACTAGTAGGGGCRCACATACCCTGTAAGGAGGCCAGAGGACAGCCTTGGTCTGCTAAGCAGAGGGTGGCAGGAGCTCRAGCGCAGAGCAGTGACCAGCTCTGACCTGGGCTCCAAAAGGATCATGCAGCTGCGGTGTTCTGGATGGACTGTAAGGGGGACTGGGGCCTGAGCAAGCTATTTCTATAGTGTAGACATTTATTTTAAATGTCTACCTATATAATAGACGCTGTGAAGCATTTTACAAATAACAATTCATTGAATCCTAACAGAGGCCCTCTGAAAAGGAGCTTGCTCAAGGTCATGCAGCAGAGAGATGACGGTGGCTTCAACCAGGGGAGTAGCATTGGAAGAGGCAAGAAGCCTCCCCCTCCAAAGTATTCTAGATGGTTGCTGATGTATTGGTGATAAGTGAGAAGTAGGAAGAAGTCCAGGAGGATGCTAAGTTTTTAACCTGGAAAGATTTGCCATTTACTGAATGGAGACTGTAGAGGGAACAAAGTTTTTTCGGGGAAGAGGGAGTATGAGTTCAACTCAAGCAAGTTATTTTTAATATTTTTTACTTGTTGATGGACCTTTATTTATTTTGTATGTGTGCTGAGAATCGAACTCAGTGCCTCACACATGCTAGRCAAGCGCTGTATGATTGAGCCACAACCCCCAGCCCTGGAGCAAGTTATTTTGGAGATGACTATTGGAGGCTTCAGTGGAGATATCCAGTAAGTGACCAGATATGGAAGTCTGGAGTTGAGGAAGCAGTCAGAGCTAGGGTTAAACTGGAAAGAACCAGCCAGTAAATGACATTTAAAGGTATTTAAAAGCACAAGATAGCTGGATGAGTTCACATAGGGAAAGAATGTAGACAGAAGAGACCAAAAGATAGACAAAAAAAAAAATTGTCCCTGGGGCAGAGTAGAGAGAACCAAGAGAAGGTAGACCCAATCCCAGAAGGAAAAGTAGGCCCAAGGGAAAGTTTTCTGAAATTAGTTTCAATTATTTAAGAAACAAGAAGAAAACKGGATCAAAAGGAAGCCTTGTGGTTCAGAGTTCGTTGTGTGTAGTTTCTCACTTAGTCCTTAGGACCCTAAGGGGGCATTACGTTATTATTCCCAATCTACAGATGAAGAAAATGAGGCACAGAGATTACATAACTTGTCCCAGATCACACAGCTAATGAGTTCAGTGCTAGACAATCTGGGATTGGAATCCACACTCATAAACCCAGGTCTGATCATGTTGCTTTCCTGTTCAAAAACTTGAAAGTTTAGGTTTACCTTACGAGAGGGCTCAGCACCCAACACCACCTCTGCCCACGAGGCCCCATTTCTACTTCTTTTGTTGCCTCTGCTCCTTTTTCCTCTACTAACCAGCGTCCTCAGCTTCATGTAGTTCTGTTCCCTTATTCTACATGGGGTCATCCTGGTGGCTTTGTCCCTCCTTTGTTCTCTGCATTGGCTTCTATTAAATGACAACTTCATGTGTTTCATGGTTGARATTCCCAAGACCAAATCTGGTTGGCATAGCTCATCATATTGACAGCTCAGTGACAGGTCATGGGTCCKTCTACAGATTGGCTGCCTATAGGTYAGATCCTCCCCGAGACCCACCAGCTATTGCAGTGAGCACGGGGACCTGTGGCATTGAAYATGGCTGCGTTGAAAAGGGGATGTGGGGAGGTGTGGGCGCGATAATATTTTGAATACTGTTTCCTCCCTCTTTAAAAAACCCAAACCCCCTTAAAACTCTCCTGTCATATGGTTCCACCTGCCCCTCTGCTTTGCTTGATGATTTCAGCATCTATAAGCTGAACTCATCAGAAATATTTTTTGAATTTTTTTAGTTGTACTTGGACACAGTATCTTTATTTTTATGTGGTGCCGAGGATCGAACCCAGTGCCTCACACGTGTGAGGCAAGCGCTCCACCACTGAGCCACCACCAGCCCCTCACCAGAAATCTTATTGACTTCTCACTGATTTCTTCCCTACCAGTGGGTCTCCTTCCCCTCTTCCTGGGTCCCCACTCCCATGGGCTCACCCTCACCGATAATTACAACTGTCTCAGAAAACAATCCCAAAGACCTCAAATCTGACCTTAATGTCCTTCTAAAGAATCAACATAGGACTGTTTCTTTAGCCTCCTTAAGACCTGTTAACCTGTGGCCCTGCCGGACTTAACCTTCCCTTTTGGGTTCATTGGGTCCTCGCTAAGTATTCGATGATCTTTATACTCACTTCCTTGCAAATAGCCATAAACTCTTTACCCACTCCCTTTTCAACTAACTTGCCCAACCCTAGCGAAGCCCAGGTATTCCYCGATTTCCCCCCAAATCAGCACATCTCAACATTTCAATAAAATTATAAGTGACTGCTGCCACATAAGTGGGTGTCYGTAAATTTCAAGTGAGGCTTCACTCCTGCCCAGCAATCCTCTCATTTTTTTAAAATTATTTTTTAGACATTGACAGATCTTTATTTTATTCATTTTATTTGTATATGGTGCTGAGGATCCAACCCAGTGCCTCACACGTGCCAGCAAGCGCTCTACCACTGAGCCACAACCCCAGCCTGGCCCATGTTTTTTTTTAATATGTATTTTTGAGTTGTTGATGGACCTTTATTTTATTTATTTATACACAGTGCTGAGAATCGAACCCAGTGCCTCATACACGCCAGGCAAGTGCTCTACCACTGAGCCACGACCCCAGCCCGCCCCATGTTTCTTTTTAAGAGTCAACTCTCCACACTAAACTCCGCATACCCTTCCTCTCCTCCTTCAATCGAAGCAATGACCTTGCCTCACACTTCACAGAGACAAGTCCAGCAGATAGGCCCTGTTGTCTCTGCACCCACCCACCCCCACGTTCACCTTCSCTGTTCACAATGAAGGGTTCACGTCCATCAGAGCCAGTCCCTCTGCTCGCATTCTCGGTCCTCTTGGCTCCCTTTCCCATCACAAGCTTGTGAGTTCTCTGCAGGAGCTGATTYACCATGGAGTCTCCAGTTTCTCCTTAGGGGTCAGGCTTCTCTCTCCACCTGCCCACAAAGTGACATAGCCCTTCTGAAGAACTCCCCTCCTTGACATGCAGATCTTGGCCCTCCCAACACCATCTCTCTTGGTCTTCACATGTCCTCGGAATTTCCCTTGATTGTTCCTCTTTTCTGAAGGCTTAGTTCTCTGATCCCCTCATCTTTGTATTTAAATCTTCCTCTGGTCACTGTGGATCTGCRACACCCAGAACATAGTAGGYGCTCAGTGAAGGAATGTGAATGAAGATAATAGTATCAATATGCTAGGATTTATATGTTATAAACAGACCAAGAAGGTTACTGAAGTGGTGGCTACTTTTTAATGAGCCCTCACTATGTGCTAAACATTTGTCGTGTATTATCTCAGTGACTCCTCCCAACCACCCTTTGAGCTAGGAACTTCAATTATTATTGCTTTATAGAAG